GAGCCTCGCGTCTGGAGCTCATGCCGGTACTGCCTCGAGATACGATGACGACCAAGGTTCGAGCTTCCAAACTAACATCTCTTTGTTATTATTGTTGAGTTTGTGGCATGCGATAAACCCAAATGCTTTTCTACCCCCTTGTTGTTCTCGTGTATTACTAAATTTGTAGATCTATTCTTGCCGTTATTCTTGGCATTATTGACTATGTATACGATGGTTTTGCTTTTTTATAGTTGAGTATGTGCTGATTGGAAGTGAAGTTATTGTGTAGGTTGTAATCTTCGAATGTAAAAATGCAGTATTAATGAGTCAGTAAATTAGTTGTTGGTAGATAATGTAGACTATTTTGTAATCATTTAGTTTGTTTTATGATCACACCCAAGTTTATTTCATCGCGTGGTCACATTGATTTTGGTACTTCTGAATAATATTCAAGGTATTTAGAAACTAAATTTTTTTCTACCGTATTATTATAATAAATGACTAAGCTTATGAAATATATCAAATATTTAATTGTACGTTTCAGTACATACTGACAATACAAATATATATTAGTAATTTAGTATTTAGTACGGACTTAGAATAAGTTTAATTATTCCAACTAAAAGAAAGATTTTAAATTATAATTATAACTTTTTCCAAGTTAAATTGTGCGGAATTAATAGTCGAAAGTTATTTAAATTAAGATTTTTTTCCTTTATTAAGCGTTGCTAGTAAAAAATAGCCAAAAAATTTTGATGTAAAAACTATCTTTATTCATGAACTAAAGTATCCCAAATTTCACAGCCAAAAAGTTTTCGTTGCAAAAATGTGTGGTCTAAAATGAGTTTTACATAAAAACTATATGCCGAAAAAGTCACTGTTATTAATCAAACGTTGCCCTCGTTCCACAACCATTCGCCTTAGTTTCGATCAATCTTTCATCCAAAGGCATTCAAAAGAGGAGATGAAAACATTTCAAAGATTGCTATTACAAATTTCCAAAACATCAAGTTTTAGTATTTTATAACTAATAAAAAAAGATAAAAAAATTCAGAAAATGTCATTTGACTTTAACAGGCTGCAAATTTAGATCCCGTAGGTGGAAAGAAAACCCTTCACAGAGTCGAAAGAGAATTTCTTCAGCTTTAAAATGAGAGGTCGAGGCCTTTTTTCCGATAATTTTTTACCAAGTTATAGCAATTTTTTTTTTTAAAAGCGAGGTTTTTTTACACGCAAATACATAAAAAAATAAGTGAGAAAGAAAAAAGACTCTAACAGAAAAAAGATGGAGTTTTATCTATAGAACAAAGATCTGCAATTTAAATTTGATTTTGAGAAAAGAAGTTTTGTTCGATTTTTTAGCGCGTTAAAACAGTAAATTAACATAATTATGATTTTCAAACTTGCTTTTTTAAATTTTATACAATATAATCCTGTCTTAAAATTATTTTTTATTTTTATTCAATAAAAATTGCTTTTTAAAAATATTATTTATTTGGCATACAAAAATAGTAATTATTTATTAAGAATTATTTGGTAACAGAAAAATAAATATCATTTTGCAAGTATTTCATTAGCTACACTTTAGTGAAAACTTTTTTAACACGCTAAAAAATCGAAAAAACTTTTTTTTCCCAAAATTAAATTTAAACTGCAGATCTTTGTTTTATAGATAAAACTACATAAATCTATAGATAAATCTTTTGTTTGTCTAGAGTTTTTTTTCTTTCTCGCTTATTGTTTGATGTATTTGCGTGTAAAAAAACCTCGCTTTAAAAAAAAAAATTGCTCTAACTTGATAAAAAATCATTGAAAAAAAGTGCTCGACCTCTCATATTAAAGCTGAAGACATTTCCTTTCGACCCAGTGAACAGTTTTTTTTCCACCTGCGGGATCTAAATTTGCGGCCTGTTAAAGTCACGAAATGTTCTAATTTTTTAAATCTTTTTTATTAGTCGTAAAAAGCTAAAAATTTGATGTTTTGGAAATCTGCAATAATACTTTTTAGAGGTTTTTACCTTCTCTTTGGAATGACTGTTAATTTTTGGAAATACGACTTTTGGCTGCCGAGTAATAACCCTTTTCGCTTTGCCGATTTTGTGTTGGGTGCCTAAAAACGTGGAAGGGAGGATACGTGCGCGCAAATCTTATGTATGGCAAGAAACTAGGAATATAAGTGACGTACGCCCCCACTCTCCATTTCCTACAGAAACGAGATTCTCTCTCTCGCACCGCGAAGAATGAAATGCATTAGTTGTAGGTTACCTTGGACTCCGGAAGTGCGCTAAGCGCGCTCGAGTGGTTGTTGTATTTGATTTTTTTTCACTGCTCCTTCTGTCGAGTGCACATACTTTTTCTTTTGTCTTATTTCTCACTCAGAAGAATGACACGCATCAAACCTGGTCGATAAGCTTAATCTTAAATTTTTTCAAGTGGTACATAATATACATTCACAATACGATTGATTTCAACGGATGCACGATTTTGTTTCCAATAAACAAAAAACATAATGTTCAACGAAAATTCAAAGCCAGTATAAAATATAACAAAAGTTTTTCTGCACAAACATATATTTTTCTGCGTTTTCTAATAAACGATTAAAATTATTTTACAGAATTATAACTTATACTTTTAATGATCAAGCTTCATCCGCGCGTTATCGTCGTATCTTTGAAAGGTTTATTACAACTGTTAATGAATACAAAGTTAAAAAAGCCTCATTTGGTAATTAATTGTTAAAATCCCGTGTAGAATTGCTATTCCGCTTCAAGTACCTACGTGGCTGGATGGAAGCCTTGATGTCAAGCAGTTCCGACAAAAGAAATGCGTAGGTACTGAAAAGCGTGATCTAACGTATGCATGAGTGCGTAGGCTCATTAAGTATTAAATAAAGGCGCGCTTCCACGCTTTTGAGATAAAACTTCCGTTGATGACCTCGAAGGCTACTGTTAAAATTGAATGCCGAGTACAGTTTGACCTGCGAGCTTTGTTGTCTCCTTTAATTTTAGCTTTGGAAATTTGCTTTATTTATGTATACATGTTTATAATGTATCGCTTCATTATTATTTAACTTTGACGGAATTTTTTATCTATTTGACTTTTTGATGAATGTTGATTGAAATGTTGACAAGGTATGCTTTGAAGCTTGAATTCAGAAAATTAAGCGTTAATATTCATACTTTTGTATAAAAAATTACAAAACATAAAAGTCTTCAACTAATTGGCTCATTGAAATACTCCACACCGCAGTATTAGCAGTGATTCTTAATTATATCGTTGAATAGTAACAGTTTGTTAGGCAATAAAAAATGGGAATATATTGTTTTAACCACAAAACTAAACGAAATTGCTCCCGTGGTCAGTTCAAAATAAAAAATAGTTAATTTCCCCAGTGAAAAATTGACTTTTAAAACAACAATGGAAATACTATTTAATCGTAATCAGCCAAGTAAGATTACTTTGACCTACTCAGCCGTGCGCACGGCCACGTTGAACAAGGGAAAAGGATTATTGAACACGTGCGTTTCCAACGACGCATGTAGCCCACGTTTGCCGCTTTATCTTTCTTAGAGTCGTCAAAGTCAACAAAACTTTTAATTTCACGACCGACATGTTTCGCGCTTTGCCAATGCAGTTTACTTTCTTTTTTCGAGTTAAACGAGATTTAAACGGGATACTATTGATTTATTGACTCACGCTTGGTCGTTGTAGTAACTAGTTTCGTGCTACAGTAATGCGACAGGCAACGTTTGCCGAAGAACTTTTGTAAAACGGTACGAAGAAAACCAACCATATGGATAACGAACAAATCCACGTGTTTATGTTGTTTATGGCAGACATCCTTTCTTCGTCAGCAGTGAAAAAAATTATCATCGACAAAGTTGGAATATGATGCTTTTCCAAAGTACATTATATGCAAAATAGTCAATATGTTAAGCAATTGACGAGTAAGCGGAAAATTCCGGGAATAACGTTAAGCGGTGGGCGAGCGGTGTGTGTTTTAACGCGATCAAGCTCACCGCGTACTCAGGCGAGGAACGAAAGTTATTGCACTCGTGTTAATTGGAAACGCTTGGCGCACACAGCTTAACATACAGAAGTTAGTTATGGGACTTAGTTGATAACTTAAAATCACATTATCAACGTTTCAATGAGATTTCTGGTATTTTCTCAAGCACGTCATTCGAACTGCTGCTTATTGTTTCAAATTCTGCTGGCGGATGGGCTTCTAATTAACGCAGCGCGCTTTTGTGTTTTTATCCTTTAGTGTCTTTTCAGTCATGGTCCACTTTGTTAAACATCCACAATGCTGTAAGAGAGCTTATGCCATGTCATTCGTTTCGAACGTCACCCGTCGACACACAATCTAAGATTACGCAACGTTTTCATCAATCATAAAATTTGCCAATTGACTTCGTATCAATGGATTCCTTTTTGTCATGTATTGCGTTGCGAGATGGATAGAATTGGTTGATTCTATTAAAAAGTGAGCTACGACATTCACTTTACCGGGCTTTACAAATATGCACTGTAAAATTTTAGTTTGCTGCTTTTGGTATTTTTACGCGCGTTTTAATACTCTTCGATTGCTATTCGGCATTGCTAAATCACTTGTTCTGAAATTGTTGATGCCTACAAGTATTATTTATAGTAATATTATACACAAGAAGAGAAGTTTCGCAAGAATATATGTTTATTAAGAGAATAACAGGAAGTTTGAAGAAACTGATAATTGTTTGAATGGAATTATAAACTTGATATTGCGACATCAAAGTGCGCACGTACTTACATGCTTTCGATATTCATTGAACGTTCTCACATTTAAATAACGCGTTTCCTAAAATCAAATCTTCACTTCATCTTTCAAGAATCTTGAAGTCTTGAAACTAGCACGATGCTTTCTTGCTCACAGAGTAAATACAAAAATTGGTATTGGAAATATATAATTAAATAATAAGACTACTTAAGATATGTCGCTTATATTATCTGATCATTATTTCGATGGCTTCTTGTTATAGGCGAAGATATGAGGATGCGATTCAGCTTGACTCCACAACCCGGAGAAAGTGGCTTTAATCAGTGGCTGGATGCTATGAAAATGGTCGCCAAGCTTCAGGGTGGAATACCAGCTGAATTCCGTAAAAAGGTTATTATTTTTTTATTTTGGAACTATAACTCTTTTGCTCATTCTTTATGATGAATAGATTTTATGCCTCTTTACATTTTACGATGTACGAACAATTGGTGTAATAGAAATGTTTCTAAACTTCCATTGCTTCTATCCTATTTTATTTTTTAAATATTTTTTGCATATCAGGATACTGCATATTTTTCTTTCCAGTATATAATTTAGGAAAACAGCTCATAAATTAGATAAAAACCCGTAAAAGCCATTATAAAGTATTTTATGGCCGTAAAATAATGTTTAGCAAAATCATAGCTTGGCGCAAGCTCTCCAACTGGAGCATCGACAGGTTTATGCTTAGATCTCAAGAGAATAGCCGTGGCGCAGTGCACAAGCGTGAAAATTGAACCAAAGTTGCGTATCTGGATAGAGTATCGTGGGAAATCGCGCGTGCGAGCAGCAAGCGACTGCTGCTGAAAAAGGAAGTTTTAGAGAATAAATTATTTCGTTACAATCGACCGTAAGAATCGCGATTATAAAACGTTCATGCATGTATACTTATTTTCACGATTAGGATACACTGGTTAATGTTAGATTGTTACTATTAATAGCGGACTTTTATTGCTGACGACGGAATAATTTCAAGACGTGTATAGTTCTTACCTACTAATGAACGCTAATGCAGTGTGATATCGAGTAAACTGTCGTATGCATTCAAACGAAATGAAACTCGAATTGGAACTTCGGGGGAGTCATATTTAAGAAATATTATAACTAAGGTTAAATGTATTTCCAGAAAGTTAGCCCATCCTGCCCAATATAAACCAAGTAAAGTAAAAAACAGTTTGATACAATTTTGAGCGAAATAAAAAAAAGAAGTTATCATACGTCGTCAGTGTAGGCATTGTTTAACTCGGCTCGCGGTCGTTTAACATTTTCTTCCTCTGCCCCTTTCGCCATTGGCGTGGCTTCTTTTGTGATGCGTTTTTGTCTGCCTGTGTATACGATGATGACCTATAGCTATGGCTGACGTTGGCGGAGAGGCATCTGGAGCAGCGTGGCATCAACTGGCAACAGGCGGAAAAGCTCTGCTTCAACGAATGGAGCAATCCCGACGACGAGGAGCTTGGCATTCAGATAGTCAAGGTATGTGTGACATCGACCTTGCTGCTTGAATATTCTACGCGTGTATTGCGTGCATCGAAAACGCTCATGCCTTTGTCGATTGACTAGGAAAAGGGATTTTTTTCATCCGAATAAACACGGATAAGTAGACGCGCTTCCGTTTCTGGGTATCATTGTTTTTACAATTGCTCGGTGAACTTGCTTACATTGATTTTCAATAAAAGAAAAAATTAGGTAAAGGCAACAATTTCATACCTAAAAGGTGTCGTGTTCTATTTTACATCTCGTTCTTCTAATGTATCAGAATGTATTTTTATGAGAATATTGATATTAGATACAAATGCGCCTAGAAATACACAATATTAATTTATATTTCTATATTAGAATCTTGTTAGTTTACTTGTACTCTTTCAACCAAAATAAAAGTTTTATAAAAACATACAAAAATCTTAAATGTATTCAAGTATTTGGTGTCGTAACGTAATAGTACATTACGATACAAGTGCGGGAAAGTAGATTCTAGTCTCATGTAGCGTTTACGCCCGAGCGAAGCGAGGGTGGAATGGTACACGAGACGAGAAACTCTTTCCCGAACATGTGCCGTACCGTATTTTTTAATACGACGTGTGAAAAGTGCGATTTTCAATGTACGTACGTTTGCCGAGCGTGCGGGAAAAACGCACTTTTCGCACGGAGTGTCGAAAAATAGTTTAAATATCTTCATTTTTTCTCGAACGTTAAATGGAGTAACTAATTTGACTCATTATTTGCAATGAGGCTTTTTAATTTAAAAACTTTTTCCGTCGCCGCACCGCCTTACATTTTCATTAAGAACGGTTTCAAGTCGCAACTAGCCCGCCAGCATGCAGTGCTGAATCCTTCGAAACTAAGAATTGATGTAAATGAAATTTCTTCGTGCCACTAAGTTACAAACTTGACCTAATCGTATTTTGATCACATTGAAGAAATTAATCAAACTATAAATTCAAGGTACTATAAATCATTTCTTGTCTCCGTTAGGACCTGCACAGAACAGGATGCAGCTTGTTCTGCGGCGCTGCGGGCCGAGACAATCAGGCGGTACTACGTCGAGTACTTCTCGGTTATGCTCGCTGGAACAAGTCAGTTGGTTATTGCCAGGGATTAAATGTACTCGCAGCATTGATCCTTCAAGTTGTCGACCGCGACGAAGCTGGAGCAGTCAAGGTCATGATCTACCTCATCGAAGGTGTCTTACCAGAAGGTTACTTTGCCGATAGTCTTCGTGGCCTCTCCGTCGATATGGCTGTCTTCCGTGATCTACTGCGCATGCGCGTGCCTAGATTGTCCAGGCATCTCGAGTCTCTTCAGAACGATCCCAAAGATAAGGCCACAGGTAAGTGCATATAGTTTTCGAAACGTTGATAAATTTACTTTTAAATTCGTTAAATTGATGACTACAATGTAAAATATTTTTCTTGCAGGAAGTAGTTACGAGCCGCCGTTGACGAATGTCTTTACGATGCAATGGTTTCTTACGCTTTTTTGTCACTGTTTACCTCAAGATGTCGTTCTACGCGTTTGGGATTTAATCTTCCTTGAGGGCAATGACGTTCTTTTGCGTACTGCTCTTGCCATCTGGGAAGGAATTTCTGAGTAAGTTCTTGGCACGTCTCGTTGAAAATGAAAGAAGGTAACACGTGGATGGATAATGTTATAACTGAAACATCTTGTGTTATTCTAGTCGCATCATGACTGTAACATCTGCAGACGAGTTTTATAGTATAATGGGAGTTTTAACGAGGGAGATGTTGGAATTTACAGATACGAATAATCTTATAAAAGTAAAATATTACGAAAAAGGTTTAGAAAACTTATCAATAGTTTTTTTTATGATTGTGTGTCTCATTTGCAGACTATTGTAGCAATGGGTCCACTGACTGGTATCACGAACTTACGAGAAAAGCATCGATATAATATAACACCGTGGGCTAGAAGGTTAAGCGACGATGAAGATTCCGATACAGAAGATGATGATAGACTAGCTGTTGCCACGGCTGCAACGATATTTTCTTCACCACGTATGAAGAGATCAGGTTTGTTATTAATTAATTAGATAGATTTTTGCAATTTCCATTGACCGATCGACTAATAATCAATGATCTTTCAATCATATAGATCGACATTCATCGTCAATGGCACCTTCTAACGATCGAGAAAGATTAGCCTTGGATATAAGCACGTTGAAGCAGCAGTATGCAAAATTACGAGAACGCCAACGCCAAGCCCACATTATCCTGTCGGGTACGAAATCAAATTTGCTTGAACGAACCTGCTATCTTACATCGCTACTTGATTAAATTCACGATCACCAGAGTAATCACGGAATAAGCTAAACTTGATTCGAAATTACATGAAAAACCAGCGGCGTGCACGCGCCAAACGATGAATCCATCGTCAACGGCGAGTCAAGCGATGAACCACTTGCTCGTTGGCAAAAGTGCGTTGGTGAGCAGCAAAGGTCGCTCGTTGAGCGCGACCTCGAACTCGCTGATTGCGCGAGCCAAGGCAGCGACATTGCACGCAAGCGTAACTAGTCCCAGGAGTCAACGAGTCAAGGAGCGCCAGCAGCAACAGCAGGGAGTTACGATACACTGGAAAGATATGAAGAAACGCAAGGATGAGCACGAAGTGCAAGAACGTAAGTTTACATTTCCGTTGTTGATGCCAAGTATACTTTATTACTTTTGTTGCGGGATAAACGCTGCCTTTACATTTAGATTTATGATGGAATAGCATGCAGTTTTAGTGCGTTTTAGTGGGTTGAAGGTTAATGTTTTTCCCCCAACGTGGCAATCAGTTTCGATCGCTGCGTTGCATGTGCACTTAAACACACCTTAAAAAATCGATGAAAACAAATGATACATAAGATATGGTGATTTGCTTTGTAGTGTTTATTCACTGTGCGTTTATTATAATCCTTGGAAAATGACATTGTCTTTGTACGTGATATTATTAATATTCATGGTGTCGAATCAACCAAAGGCCGTGAACACGCTCTACCATCGTTCTCGTCTGAAAACAAAGCTTCTCAGCTACCAACGCATGATAAAGCAAACTTAGCGAGCCTAGCAAATATCGATTCTAACTCATCGTTGTCTCTCGTCCGTTTCCGTCGACCACTTGTTGCGCCGCGCACGCAGTATTTAGCTAGAGTATTGACGCAGGCGTGGTCTATAGCTAATGGGTCAACCACCGTACGCGCGCGCGCGAGAACGAGCTGGCGAATGTTCCGATTACCTCGAACCTGACTTTACTTCGCGTGCGAAGTCGCACTGCGGAGCGAACTGGTGCACCGAGCGCATACCAGAATCTCATGAGCTGACTCTGTGGCGAAGATCGTAGGTTTGTGTTTTCTCCTTTTCGTTCTTAGCGAGTGTGTCGATCGTGATCGATGAATGTGTTTGGTCGATGGGTAATAACCCAATAGGAAAGATGATGGTATATTATTGTAAATAATGTGATTGAGAAACAGTGATTTAATTTTTATGTATCATTTTGGTATTAAATTGGAATATTTTTAAGTTTTTTTTAAGTTGTGACAGTGATACATTTTTTCATTGAAAATTTCACAGATTACGTACGTTGCTTTTCAGTGTTTATAAAAACATGATAAAGAACATAAAAAGCTCTCTGCACGAGTGCATTGAAAGCTGTGAGAAAAAAATTAATATGTACAGAGACACGATAGGATGGAGAAAAAATAAGAGAAGCTGGTGCGCGAGCGCATTTAGTTTAGAGTAATCTATAAATAAAAAATAATCACTTATCTGATATAGCGTTTCGCTGGTATGTTATCCAGCCTCTTGGGATCATAATAATTTTATATCATATTAAACAGATAACAATTTTGAAGTCAATAAAAGTTAACAAATATACATGTGAAATATAACAATGTTCGAGAATTATTGTCCTCTCAACATTTTTATAACCTATTGACTTATGTATGATATGCAATTGTTATAATGATCTCAAGAGACTGGATACTACGTCATTAAAAAGTCATCTTGGATAAGTGACTGCTTTTTATTTATGGGTTTACTCTCACAACATTAAAAGAACTTTGAAGTATTGTTACAATTATAGAGAGTTTATATAATGTTGATTCCAATTGGAATTTTATATCTAATCTTTGGATAAGTAAACTTAAATGATTGCTAATTCATGTAAGGTTCAGATTTTCCGGAAAATTCTTAAAATTGTGGTATACTTAAATATTTATTCGTTTGGGAAAATGAAGGAACGTTTTCATTGAAAATTCTACAGGCTACTTTTCACCGTTAATCAACAAATAGCAAAACATAAAAAGCTCTCTGTACGAGTGCATTGAAAGTTTTGAGAAAAAAGTTGATATGTACAGCGACACAATAGGACGGAGAAAAAATAAGAGAAGCTAGCGCGCGAGCGCATTTGGTTTTCAAAGAGAAAGTATTGTATATATTCAGCGTATAGAATCATTCCCGTTTCAGCGACTCAAAACTTAGATGACCTATATTAAAAGCTCGATAGAAAGAGAAGTGTGTCATTTCCCAGGTACCTTTTATTTTCGACAAATCTAACGAAGTTTGCCCGCAAGACAAACAAATCTGTCATGTCTAACCAAACTCAACTTTGACTACTCATTTTACGTGACACATTATATTTTTGACAGGTATATCAAGAGAACTCGATCTCATTTGCGACACGAAACTTTCATCCGTACAATTTGATAGAAACTAGAACAGAAAACGCGTTCCTCCAATTTTACAGTTGGCTAAGTCGCCATTGAAATCCGCAGTTGAAACCACTCTGTACCAGCTCATCCTCGGAGTGCGCTCATTCGATCATCTCAAAAATCCAGCATGATCTCGTTTACCCCTCCTGGCCTACTTTCTCTTCGTGGGGGGACGAAAAAAGGGAAAATACCGTCCAACCCACGCAAAGAGCGGCGTGTGCGCGGGCATTCAACCCTCCTCCTACTCTTGACGCTGAAATATCGATCTGTTGTTCCAGCAGCGGTGACGATGGCAGCTGAGCCCGAGCCCGAGGTCGACATGTCGTCGACGAGGCGACAGCAAGGTACAGTGGCCGCCGACAGTGATAGTGACAGTACCTCCACTGAACTCTGTGACGAGCCTGATCGACTTAGTGATCTCGATAGTGAGGAACCTACGTCTATCAGTGAAGGATACGCTATCACTATGGCAGAAGACGATGAAGCAGCGAAGGTCGCCGAGCAGACGGAGCAACAGACTGTTTGCAATAGAGCAAGGTAAGGTTAGGAGGTTCATTGTTTGGGGATTGATTTGAGGTGCGAGGATTGATGTTGATTTGCGGCTCAATTGTCTTTGACGCTGCTGTATTTTATACTGATATTTCTTGCCACTTGGATTCAATGACATAATGACAGACAAAATAACCTATTTTTTCAAACGTTTTTATTTGATGAAAACAAAAACAAGACAACAAAAAACAATTTAAAAAAATAGTGATTGTTGATAAATTTTTCAGTTTTGATTTAGAGTATTTGAAGATCAGGTCGAAAGATAATTGACGTTTGTAAGTGAAGCACATTAATAATGAACAATTTAGATAGTATGAGCAAATAATCATTTTTAATACGTTTAGCTCTGCATTTGAGTTGAATGACATTCAATTTTACGATATATGCATATTCATTGTATGTTGCCAAAGATAAACAGCAGAAAACAGTAGCGCTAAACGGATTAAATCCTTTATTTGAATGAAGTGACGACCAAATTCATCTAGTAGAATTCGCTCATCTTTTGTAATCATCAGTTTCAAAAGAAACATAAACAGTAATAAAAGAACGTAATTGTACATAAATGAATGATCTATTAGATTGGCAACGAAATTTAAAAAACAAAACAGATCATCAATATTCATCAGACTCATTGGCATTTTATCACTATAAAAGGCACAATAAAGTTGTAGTTTGCCGATAGATTACTCGAACTTTGCTACTCGCATAAGCTACTTTAGTTTGTTATGTAGAAGCTCTACCAAAATTCATGAAGTTTTGCTGAACTCTCATCAACAATGTATCAAAGCTACTTTCCAAAAGAATACTAGATATCACGTTATGGAAAAATATTGATTACATTTCATTCAATGTTCATTTCTTTCCAGCAATCACCTCGATGTCGCAAACGAGGAAACTTCTATCGCTGAAATCACTGATCAAATACGCAGGCTATCAGCAGATGATGCAGACTTCAAAACGTCTCTCGATGACAATCATCCAATTGAGGGAACAATTGAGGTAGAAATCACTGAGTTGTCCTATGACAAACCTGTTAAAGAAGAGACTAAAGTCGACTCACAAATACCGTCAGTGCTTAATAACGAAAGTGTTTTGTCAGAAACTCCGCGAACTAAAGTGGTCGACATCACAAGTGTTTACGACTATTCGAGAACAATAAAAAGTCGAGTTGACGACGTACTTCTTAGTGCACCGACGAAAACGACGACGAAGTCGTCTTACGTGATAGGCCATCTGCCTATTTCACCGGCTAGCTACGAGGCCAGAAACACCAGACATTTATCTGAACTTTCACCTTCGACGGAGCTTGCAGGAGGAATTAGAGAACGGTTTGATAGGAATACGTTTTCAAGCAGTTTGGATTCTGCGATTCTCATATCAGAACAAAAATTTTCTAGCTACAAGGTACATTGTATATAGTTCATTAACCAGTTTTTACAATTTTTCTTTTTAAAAATAGCTTTTGATTTTTGACTTGTGTTTGTTCTTTTACTTTCCAGAGGTTCCTTTGAGATACGTTGATAATTAATTTATTTAATTGTTCAAAGATGTTAATAAGTACGTTATTAATTACGCCCATTAATTGTGTAACGCTTCAATAGTATTAAGTACAACGTAATAAAATTTGAAAGTCGTACCTGTCAATTTGATTTCGGTGCTGCGTATCGTTATTAAGTCAGACGGTTAAACTCTTGGATAAATTTATAACGAAAGTCTATAAAATAGAAATGAAAGTATTTTCTTTTTAGAATCTATGTACTTTTTCTTCAACGGTGATTTTTTTCATGCTATCTTATGGGATACTTTATTTGAAATATGTACATATAAAAGATGCTGTATTGAATCTAAGCTATAAAATATAATTTAGTTTATTTTAGAAAAATATAATCAAGTATCTCTTACTATCTCAGCTACTTAATTTATATATCGTATGTTTTTTATGAAATATAAATGTAGAAAAGTAGTCTAATTAATAAATCATTATTTTGAGTGAATTTTGCCTAATGTGAAAGTATCTTAAACAAAATATTTTTAAGAGCACATAAAATATATAAGGATGATATTTAAATTTACTAAAAAACCATAATAAATTAAAAACCATTGGTATATTAACATGATTTTTACATTAATTACAGCTTGAGACTAAACGAAGTCCCAGAACTCCTGAAAGTGCCAAGTCCTTCAGTTCAGGCGAAACCATGGGTCCTGATTCAGTGATTTCCAGCGTTGCAGCCAGTCCAAAAACTCCTTTACGCTCAGATTCACGTGATTTCACAATTGTCGATAAGTCGAGTACCTCGTCGGCTAGCTCAGAATCGAAAACATTAACTATGCGTTCTATCGATTCCGAAGCCGTGAAAGTGCAAAGTGCCCCGACGATAGAAGAGCCAGGTGACACGTCTATGACACCATTGAGTGACTCGCTGATGCAGCCAAAATCTACAGAGCCACCTTGTAGTTCGACTGAATCTTTCTTTAGTCCTACTAAGCTCAAGTCTTCCGAGAGATCATTCAGTTCCGAGCTGCAATCGCCAGTGAGCGCCAACTCTATAAAGTATACAGCAAATTACAGCTTCAAGTCCGATTTGGCTGACTTGAAACCTTCCTCGGGTAAGTTTTTATGCCTTTTCTAGACTTACTTTTCAATGTGTATAACTTACCGTCTATTCATGAAAAAAGTTGAATAAGTCGAAAATAGCATTCTCAATTAATATAAATTTTACTGGAAAGAAAGTGACTGATTGTTGAGACATATTCATTATACTAGAGTAGTTTTTGTGTTTATCGAAAAAAGTTTTTTCGTGCTGCAATTTCTGATTTGTTATTTTTTTCGTTAAATATATTTACAGATACAACATTATCGTTAATTCTGTAGTTAATAATAAACATGTAACGTAATAATCATTAATCATTATCGCTATGATTTTCAGAAATAGGTCCTGTAATATCACCATTTTATCCAATTTTAAATCCAAATCATAAGACACCCTCGCCACTCAGCGAGGAGAAAAGACAAATTGATAACGAAAGAGGAGAACTAGAATACAAAAACAATAATCAAAATTACAATAAAAAAAATTATTCAACTACTAAAACTCCAATTCAAGCTTTTGATATTTCTCAACTACAAAATAATGATGATAACCCTAGTATAAAAATATCTGACGAAAATGACACTGTCAAGAGTAGCTTGAGAAAACTATACAGCTATGAGTTTGACGATGATGTAAAAACTGGAGAAGATAGCAAGGAAGAAAAGAATATGGGTCGAACATCGGGTAACATGAAATTTTTTACTAAATCATGACATTTCATTAAATTGATTAATCGTTATCACAACGTAAATACTAAAATATGATTTAATTTTTCATTTCAGCATTCGAAGTTTATCGCCGAAGTAAATTCGAAGAAGAGCTCAAAGAGACTGATACTCTGTCGCCGCTTCCTAACATACAATTTGAAAACCGCAATGAATTTTTAGAGAGGAGCCGAGGAAGATCCTTAGATGGAAAATTGGAAACTCTGGAAGTTGCAGGTATATCTTACGATCGAAGTAGCAGCAGTTTAGAAAAGCGATTCCCAGGCATGCTGTTATCACCTTCGATGGAAGATTTTGCTAACAATGCGAAGAAACGTTCCAGCGATGTTCTCGAAGATCTTAAACATTTTGAAGCTAAAACAATGTCAGACGGTGAGATTGATCCTAATATGTTAACAAGAAAGTCTAGCTGCATATGGGAGGATTTAAAAAATTTGGAAGCTCGACGACAGGATACTTTCAGTGATTCAGTTAGCGGCTTTTCAAGACAAAAAATTGAAGTCCCTGGTATTTGCATATCCTCAGAGCATCGAAAGACATATATTGTCGAACCAAAAATCAATATTGATGACAATAGTGATAGCATTTTAAAAACAGTAGTTTATAAAAATGGAAATCTTCAAGAAGACGATGACGATAATGTAGAATCGAAACTTGGAGTCTGGACTAAAGTTAAACCTAGAAAACGAAACGACAATGGACGGAGAAGTAGTGACAGAGCGTTGAAAATTATTCAAGAAAATTCAGCAATCCTTCAAAAGATTCTGACTTGTCAAGCAAGAAAGAGATTACCAGATCTAGAAGAAATATCGAAACAAATTACAATTAGTCCGATCAATGAAGAGATATCGAAAATATTTAGTCCTATTCTTGAGAAAATGGGATTTAACGAGCATGAAATAAATGAAGAGTTGGCAAGGATAAACTTTAAAGATTTGGATCGTAATACCACTACCACCACCGCTTCGGAGTTTGAAGCCAAAATCAACGAAGAATTATCAAAATTATCGCTTGTTGGTGACAACGATGAAGTTGCTTATCTTCCCGATGTTGAAGATCTGTCATCCGATTATCTAGTTCACAGAGATGCCTTTATTGATCGCCAAATAAATAAGGAGCTGTCTAAATTAATATCTCACTACGACGTTGATTCGCCAATGGCTCTTCAAAAGGGTTCTTCCAGTATTCATGTGAGCGACGATTTATCCACATGCTCGACCAATGTTTACTCGTACAAATCATCGGACGATTCCCTCGATATCAATGACCTAGGCTCCAGCAGAGATCCGTTGCATTCGACAATGTATCAGGATAATCCTCTACCATACGTACCTCGTAACGATTACTCGACTCTACGTGAGTTCTCGACTAAAAGGGATGTCGACATTTACAGAGACATAGATAAACTTAATCAGATTTCATATACGAAACCCCCAATGAACACAGAAACCAGACACCCAGATGTTGTGCCAATCTCCGTGCCGTACATATCAGACGTGGTCCAGTCACCGAAGATTGATTATCCTTCTTCGATCATCGAGAAGCAAACACCTAATAACATATCACCATTGAAAAGCCCCTACGATAGCTCTTACTCTTCGACACTTCAAGCTTCCTCCTACGATTATAAATTACGATTATCGCCTAGAAAGATACCTAATAATCCTTATTCTGTTCGATCGTACGATGCCAAAAATACTCTGGACACTGGGTTTGAAAATTCAACCTTTGAGTTTACTTCGAGACAAGCAGTTGTTCCATCAAATCTGAATTATGAATATGATCCCAAGAAGCATATTTTATCAAAGGAACATCTGGAATTTCAAGTAAAATATGAGAATGATCCTGATTTGATGATAACTAAACCACCTGTCATTCGAGATATAAACCTGAAACTCAGCCCTTTTCACGCTGATAACAGTAACGTAAATTCGATTACTTCTTTTTATCCTGACAAACAGTTGAGTTCCACTGATAAATATATAGCCAGTATAGACGATCTATCGCCTATAGCCTCCAATATAGATCTCAACGATTACGAATCATCATATACGCGTAGAAAGTACGACAGTATATCACCACTAGATAAGTATTCCACTTACGGCGATAACTACGATGTTCTACATCAACCTTACAAGATTTTGTCATTAGAACATGAACCAGAAGTCTCTTCATATTTGACAAGTAGTTCAATCAATACCAGCCATCACCGAGGCACCGAAATCCCATCGCCGCAATATCAGTACTGTGACTATAGTAAACCTATTGGCAATTCGTACAAAATGATATCGTCAAACCTTGACAACTCAGTCGCTATGACGACGAGAATAAAAACTACGTACGCTGATAATTCACCAACAGATACATTGAGTTATAGAAACTCGACGTTGATTTTAGGAACTGTTGGAGAAACTCAACCGATAGGAGACCCCGATATCAAGTACAGTTACGATGAAATTCCAAGTCCTAAACCACTAGGATTTAGTCCATTTCCCGTGCGGAATGCTCAAAGAAAACCTAAAGATGTCGCACTTAAGTTGGGGTTGTATTCACCAACTAATTCTATTCAGTCTAAGAGGTCTTAGCTTTACGAGGATTGTGCAGAATATTTGGTGTAAATTTAAAAAGGGAAATACGGACTGGGCATCTTCTGTTACTTTGATACTACGTATTGAATTTATTTTTGTAAGATTGGTTCATTGTATTAGGGCCTTGCTTAGCTGTAAATTTGTCTTAATAGTTATTGTTGAAAATGGGTAATAGAGGTAACTATTTAGAATGTTAAATTTTTGTTAGTATCACTAGTTATGAATGTGAGAAGGGCCTACACTAATGTAAGAATTAATTTGTTAGCGTCGTCATATTTATAAATATTACAAAAACTAAGGGTTGAAACATGTTGGATAAAATTTTGCATTGGATATTGTAAATAGCAGTTTTATATGATTTATAATTTTGCTAAATTCCTTAGTCGATTTTTATAAAAATGTGTGATCTAAATATGCATTTTTATTTGAATTTATAGATGCATAAACATTATTCTTGTCGAAATTTTTGTAAGATACACTATTAAAATATGAATTAATAATTTTATTTTCATTATAATACAAACAGACTAAATGATAAATAAAACATTGATAACTTTATTTAAAAGTGATAATACATTATCAATTTATCATTTTCTGTAAGCTTATTAGAATATTATTTAAATATACTTTCACAGTATTTAATAAAAGATAATTTTTTAATACATAAATCTGCCAAAATTTCAACAATGAAAACATTTTTAAAAAATTACAAAAAATATAATAATTTATGAACAATTCCTAGCATATAAATTTGTATCAAGTTACCCTAAAACCATCTCTACTCTCATATCTTTTACACTATGAAAAACTTTCCGATCTGATTAGTAACTACATTGAGATATAACATTAAGAAACTCTTGTATAGCGCTAAAATTAATTAACAGTCGAATATCATTTTGACATATGTTTCAAAATGAACGAACGATGGTGCAATTAATAGAATGTAGTAGGCTATATAGATATCATTGGCTTGTCTTGGTTACATTATGATTAGTTATAATGAATGAAGAATAACTCTAGAGTTAATAACTTGCAGTTGAAGTAATTTTATGAGTAAATAAAAATCAACTGATAAATGTAAAATATTTGACAAAGAATTACTTATACGTTGTTGATGATACTGGGAAAAATTGTAATCGGTTCTAAATAAGCCAAGTCAATTGCCAGCTAAATGTAGTGAATGAGATAAAACTATAAAACCAATGAAGATCGCATATATCTTACTTCCAAAAATGATTGTACGAAATTCATTCTTGCTATCTTGAGTTTGAATGAATTTGTCACATCAAAGTTATGAAAGAGACATTTGACAAGCTTTTATGAAGATTATTACAAGTCAAGTTTTGCATCTCGTTTGTTAAAAATAACACTTATATTCAAAAAGTGAATTCACGTGCGTTGTTATATTTTAAGAAATTGCATATAGACTTAAAAAGACTGTAAAGTCTCTTTCGCTATCTTAAAAATCAACACGTCATGTTTAGAAACACAAATATATCGACTCAGATCTCCTTCAAGCGGTATTCGACTTCGTTTTTGTTGCATTGAGTAAAACGCATTTTTTAATTTTTTTACTCTGTAAAAAATAAGATAAGTATTCTAAGGTCAACATCAGAATGTTTTAATATTCATATAGAATATGGCATATTCTTTATAAATAATTACTCTGACGATAAAGGCATACATTTTGGAGATAATAATAATAAATTATTATTTATAATTTTACAATTAATAAAATGTAGCAGATTGAGGTCATTAAAATAGACCGGAATATTGAAGTCTTGGAAAGATTTTCTAATTAATCTGTGACTGTAAGAACTTTCATCTGTAATATTCAATTAATACTTTGAATGTTAATGAAAAAAGTGAGTCTTTGATACTTTCAATGCAAAAATAATCTATTCTTGCTTAAAGTTTTCAAAATGATGTAGAATTTACTTACTTCATGTATAGCTATCACGCGCAAACATATTGCAGCAAATCGTGTGTTACGCGCGGAAGATTGTAATTTTTATAATTGACAATAACAACATCAATATTCAAAACTTGTGACACATCAAGTTCTTACACAAGATATTTTTAAGCAACTTTAACTACTAGTAATATTAAAATTATATGGCATACATCAACAGATTACATCAACAAATGAAAAAGTAAAAGTTGCATATTCGGCATATCAATGATTATTTTAAAACGAAGGGTATTATAGAGTGAAATCTAGCTTATGCGTTTTTAAATTCTAGAAATGAGTTTTAATCAGCTTTAATGTTTCTTTACAAAATCTTAGTCTTTTTAACGTATATTTATAGCTGGGGTAAATCGATTTTTATGGATTTCGTTAGTTTCATTAGAAAAAATTTTATTTTGCTTCAAAATTATACAGTTATACGATAATTGAATACAATATCGTATGAATAAAACGATCAAATTTATTAAGGTTTTTAAACAGTTATCATTATGTTTTAAATTCCATGAATTATCCATGTGAATTTAATATTAACCGTCATATACAGCATCATCTGGATAGAAACAATTTTAACGGTCGTATCTTACGTTAAAAAGTATGTAAATGGCGGTATCATTTGGGTAGAAATATATTTGAATGAAACAAAACACAAACTTTTTAAAAATGAAATGTTTTATTAATTGAAGGACCATATTCAAGGTCCCTGATTACTGTAAATAAGAATGAGTGATGCAGAAGATACAAGACTGTACTTATTGCGGACTGTGTGTATAGTTGTCAAAAAATTTCTTGGGAGAAATATTAAAAAATACATATGTTAACAAACACTTATTCAAACATTATTTCCTGTCCTTTTCAAATAACTTATATTTTTATTTTAACAATTTTGCATAAAAAGAAAAAGGAATATAATCGCCATTGTTACGTTCATGATTTCTTTATTCAGAGAAATGGTAATTAAAATGTTTTTGTCTGAACCCTATTCATTTAAAAGGCTATTTTTTTATGTTACTTAAAAATTGAATTGGTAATATAAAATTACAAATCTAATAAAATATTAATAGCTGCTCGACTTTTTCCACACATAAATGGTACTTGATAGTCTGTACATCTCACTATACAATATTTTGGCTTCTAATGTAACTATTAGCTTAAGTTAATGTAGCCAATTAGTCTTTAAAGTTAAGGAGGAAACGTCTTCAGTTCTACTAATTAGGTGTACTTTTGACATTGACATCTCTCTTTTAGTTCAATATATTTCAGTTTATCTTTTTTAATTAGCTTAGATTGATTTGGCGAAATACAGATTCAGTCAAATTAAATAAATTTATCGAGAGAAAAATAATTATTACGTCAAAGATAATGAGTGGAAGAAATAATGTTGAATGTAAAATGCGAATAGGTAAAAGGTGAGTATGAAAGGTAAAATGCATAGTAACTTTCCTCTTAATTTTTACTGATTTATTTAATAATGATAAATAATGACTTATTAGATATTAATTTTACCGTTGCAACAATCTGGTGTAAAAGATCAAATGGATATCCGTTTTGTTTCCAGTTCTTGAATGTACATTTTTGCGCATGTTACGTTTTGTAAAATAACATTTAAATGAACAGAGCTTAATTAAAACTTCTTAATACTCATTTTCGCTTTGAGTCAATTTACTAAATCAATACGAACCACCCCAGTCCAAACGTTAGAAATAAACTTAGTTTTTTCTCTGGCTCTTTTTCTTGCTGAGAGATCAGTTAAGCAAACAACTGGTTTTTAATCCTTCATTGAGATTGAATTCATTTTATGATGTAATTAAAATAAAAAGATATACAGAAGCTGCTGTCTGAAGAAACATTTCAAGATAACATAATACCATTTTTCAACGAAATGAATAATATTTTTCTACATATTAAACTAACTGAAATAAATCATTTAACGAATTGATAATCGTGTCTATATAACAGCTTCTAATGGTCTAACCATATTATTATTTACCGGAATGGCATCAAGCGCGACATTAGTGCACTACTTCACCTTTTCTAATAGTCTATTTATTGTCATAAGCTTGGTTATATAAACTAGGTTCGTATGCAAAAGTGCATGTCGATATAACGTGTATTTGCATAAGAGCCATGCATCTATTGGTGCAGGTTGTTGAGACAGATACTGCCGGCTTCAATGCAACCGCAGATATATAATGCTAAGCGAGGTTTATTCATATAATTCAACTAGCCAAACGTTTGTAGTTTTCAATGAAAAAAGATGCTTAGTAGTTGTAAAAAAATTCACTTCGCCAACTTCATTCTTAAAACAAAAATATTTTGATCAATAACAATTTCAAAATTCTTTTAAAGTACATGTATATATATGCTACATATACATAAATAAGCGAGATAAATGGAGAAATATGGTTATAATTCTTTCATCTAATCTTTACAAATTACCATCTTTGTAATAGCAAATCTTACAAAACGATGATCCTTCGATGAATTGTAACATCAGATACGATAACACGAAATACTATATGTCAACATATATACAATTACAGTCGGTACTCCTCTTTCTATCGATTTTCATAAGTCTTCTCATAAAACAGAAATAATAAACGAGAGTCGTTCTCTTTGTTGAACACAGAGGTTTTGATGTATCGACGGAATACGTCAATTTCAATTATACGCTCGAACCACTGCCGCTACGCGTGAAACTTGTTCTCACCTTCTCTTATTTTCCTTTCTTCGCCAATGATCACGTCCTCGCGTTCGCACCTTCGAGAATGACGATTTAATAAAAGACAAAAAAGCGCAAGATTTTATCTGGTGGCTGTTAAGGACCCAAGTGGGTTGTGATGCTTTGCGGTGTTGCCTGTCAACGAGCCTCGTGTGAATACAAATTTAACCCTTACGCTGCAACGTAAATCTTTATTTGTATACTTACGAATATGATTAAAAAGACTGAAAATTATATGAGTTTAATATAATAATAATAAAAAGCTTGTTGATATATAAGTGTATGGAAATATTATCTTTGCAAAATTTCCAATGATTGTAACAAATGAATTTGTACGTATGTAGATATTGATAGATTGATTTTTGAGACTGTGTATATTTGTTGGCCTAACTAACAACAATTAGTAATACAAGCATCAAATAATTCTGAGTGCTGCTATGCATTATTACTTATCATTTATAACAATTTATCATCCAGCGTCAACCTTAAAAAATCTTATCTACATTGTTTTTCCTCTGCTACCCATCTTTCATTATCTTTATATCTACTCAAGACTTGCTATTCTGCTTTTATATTTTCCATCCTCTTCCCGAAGCTCATTTCATTCCGCGCATCAACATAAATTCTGATCTCATAACCATGCATGTGATTGCGGCGCCGCCGGTTCATGCTCAATTTCTCTTATATTGTTCTTGCGTTTGCGTCGAGCTCGTACGCCCTGTGTAAAAAGGATCGGGAGCGGGAAATGCCGGGATTTTTATCGGTACTCGGTAATAGCTGGGTTTTTAATCGCGATTAGTACGCGCCGGAGTCGCCGGTAATCAAAAGCAAATTATCGAAGTCCCCGTGCGTGCATAAGAATATTTTAAGAATTTAGCAGGTCTAGTTTTATTTGTCCCTCTTAAATGGGAATATCGTACTAGCGAAACAAACATTTATCAAACAAACGTACATTTAGATTTGACTGTACGAGACTATGTATTAGTCGAAAATGGCAAGTAGTATAGCTAATAACATATCGTACATTCATTGATGAATATACACGAAAGCTGAATAGTAAACCGTATACCTAAAGCTTCTGTCTCTATTGTTTTTGCACATAACTCTGTTCAGTTAACCGTCGATAGTCGTGAATACCTAATCGTATATGAAAACACCAGATGAAGTTTCGCCTAAGTATTCTGAGCTATAGGAACGTCCAGCCATTCAGTTCAACTCTGTTTGCTTATGTTGCGGCCTTACTTTAGATGCGTTTATTCGGTTCCCTCGTGTTCTATAGAACAGTAAAGACAGAATGTTAGGCAAGGGTACTGCATAATTCTCAGTAACGTCGTCGCCGTCGTTGCGCGTCTAAGCCGACGGCTTCAACGATCGATGGGATTACATGCAAATCGAGAGAGAGAGAGAGAGAGAGAGAGAGAGGAGAGAGAGAGAGAGAGAGAGAGAGAGAGAGAGAGAGAGAGAGAGAGAGAGGAGAGAGAGAGAGAGAGAGAGAGAGAGAGTAGGAGGGAGGGAGAGACGGTAGAGTTGCAAATCCACAGAACCGAGCGAAACACACGCTAATTTTAACGGACAACGACCTGCAAGCGGCTAAGCTCTTGTTGATCAAGACGGACGTGAGGCGAATGCGCGCGAAAACCGAAGGCTTCCTTTAAAACACTTTGTCCCGCGCCGACTAGAGATTACACGTGTTTTCAGCGCGAGGCTATTTCCATTGGAGAGGAGCCACTGCTGCTGCTGATTCTGCCAGCCCTAGTAATCCCAAAGAAACCGAGGGATTTCCTGTGTGCCTCGTAGCGGCAGCTCTTAAGCCTTTCGCGGTGGAATTTTATATATAGCGCGCCCGGCAGCAACTTGATTGAGATGGAAATCTCGTTTAAGTTGCAACGCGGATGAGCGACTTTATCGGCAATCTCTATCCATTGGAAGAACTATTTCGCGTTGACCTGCTCTTCTTTTTATCGACAAATAGCTTGGCGAATTCGTCGTGTTCACTTTTTTTAGATCTGTCATCAGATTTTAAGCCAAACTCGTGGGATTTGCAGTTTCAAACTTGTAAGCTCTATCGCTGCACTTTTTCCCATGCATTGTAACGCTCCGAATTTTCACAGATCGTACTTGTACAAAGAATGCATGAGCTTAATTGATGATATCATTTAAATGAATTTCGGACTTAAACAACCGCACATAACTTGATTATTTTTAGAAAAAGATGAGCCTTCACAATAACGTTATTACAAGGGGCAATTCTAGGGGAGGGTGCATCGTTAGCCCGCAATCAGACATTCGAAAACTAATCAAATTTTCGGAAATTTCTCAACTCCCTCCTTACTTGCTATAATGAGTGACACGAAAGGTGGATGCGCGCGCTCATCATCCCGTGTACAAAAATAATGTCCTCGAGGGTAAGACTGGCGCGAAGAAAAGGGTTGAATATCCTTCTCGGCATTCATTAGCTCGACTTGCTTTCTTATAACTCCGAGGCTCCATTCCTCAATTATCCTCGGGGGTTAGCTCTCTTGCGCAACGAGAGCTAGAACGGAGAATTCCATTGGCACGTCTTTGCCGTTGACTCTACTAATTTCTCCGAGAGCTCGCTCCTTTTATGCGAGCTCTCAAAGTTCAACAATGCTCGTGAGCGCGCTTTCATATCAGAGTTCGCATATATATTTTTTTATTTTCGTTTTGAAAGGTCGTTCTTTTGTGCGTCATAATTTCCATCGAAAATCCAAATTTAAAGATGTCATCTCCATGATCTATTCATCTTTAGGAGACACGTGACTTTCCCGAAAGCTCACTGCAATTGAGTCTTATTAGCGAGTCCTTTCAATGAAGCACAGTCACTTTTTCTGAAGGCAGCGTCATCGAAAGCTATTTAAAACAAATTTCGTTAATGAGGTTGACCCATTAATCGTGTTCACCTTCGGAAATTAATTGGCCGTTTAATGAAAGATCATATCAAGTAAACTCTCGCGATCTTGCATTTCCTCGTCGCTGATTAGCGAACATAATTAAAGAAGCGCAAATAGAATTTTTCAAGCTACACTTATCGCGCGTAATTGCATTTATTCGTTTCTCCGAAAATTCCGGTTTATCG